TTGATCTATCCTTTTGACCCACTCCTCAACCCACTGTAATCTAGTTTCTCTCACCTTCCGTTGCCAAATCATAGCTGGTCTCCTTTTTACTAAATCCAGTGGACATTCCTCAGAATTTTTCTTACTTGACCTCTCAGCAGCATTTGATACCAAGGAGGACTCCACTTTTTTCAGTCTCATTCCTTAGCTTCCATGACACCACACTCCCCTGGATTTTCACTTACCTCTCTGGCTGTTCTTCTCTGCCTCTAGTGCAGGTTCCTCTTCTTGGACCATTCCTAAAAGCTGGTACTCTCAGAGTTTTTCCTGGGCTGTCTTTTCCAGCCAGTACCGTCTTCTTAGAGGAGCTCTTCTACTCCCATGGCTTCATGACCAGATCTGTGTCTCCAGACCAGGTCTTTCTCCTGTACTTCACATCCTTATAAACGTCAGGTTTGGGGTTTGATTTTACCCTACTGTGAGCATATGAGTTAGCCTGTTACTGGTTCATAGATGTTGGTAACGAGACTTCTGGGTCAGCAACGACGGACTTTATTATCTCCACACAGCAGGCAGCGTGAGCATCGGCTTGTTGTATCGGTTCCCCTTGCCCTCGGAGTTCCATGTGGATGATATAACGGGCCCGGATGTATGCCTGCACAGACAATGGGTGACGATACAGGAAAGGAACACTGAGCTTAGAGAATCTACCTTTTTTACAGTAAGCAGTAAGCAAGCCTGCTGTTTGTCCTGGAGGGAGATGTTACCTCATCCCTCAAGGTTGCTCACTGCAGACAGAACCCTGAACAATGACCAGAGCCTTTCATTCCTGGCATAACCAGCAAGAACAAGCAGGGACACTCAGGGCCTGTGGCAGATTGCCTCTCCCAAAAACAAGCAGTTGGCTAACTGGCATATTTACTTGGATGACGCTGGTACCTCCAATTCAACGTGTCTAAAACTGAACTGTTTATCTCCCTCTCCCCTCAACTTGTTTCTCCTTCCTTTTCCTAACTCAGTGGTTGGTAACACGTAGATTTCATCCTTGGCTTTTTTCTGGCCCTCCTCCCTCACATTCAGTTGTTCATAAAGTCTGATTGATCCTTCTAAATATCTCTTGGATTTATTTACTCTTCTTCATCCTCACTACCCATCCCTTGTTCAGACCGTTGCATCTCTCTTGACTGGCTTAAGGCAATAGCCTTTCTATCCTGCAGTCAAAATATTCACTTAATTTTATTAAGTTATTTAATTTAATATTTATTTGTTTGTTCAAAATTCAATGGTTTGAAAGGTACATGGTGAAAGACTTCCTCCAGCCTTTGTTCCTGCCAGTCTCTCCAAGGCGTTCCCCACTCACCAGTTAATGTGGCCAGCTCCTTGTGATATTGAGAGGTGATATATGTGTTTGTTCTTAACACAAATTGTTACAAACTATATGTATTTTTTTTACCTTACTTTTTTCACATAATAATGTATCTTGGACATCATTGCAGATAAGAATATAAAGAACCTCATTTTTGTTTCCAGAATAGTATTTCATTGTATGGATAAACGATAACTTACTTCATCAGTCTCCTATTGTTGGACATGTAGTTTATTTTTAATCTGTTACTATTAAAATAATGCTGCGTTGAATAACTTTGAACATATACTATTTTCCACATCTGTGAGTACAGAGCCGTCACTTAAAATACAAGTCTGATCGTGTCACTATCCTGCTTCAGTGTCACCCTATAGTTCTTAGAAAAAACTTTTTAAACTCCTTAGCACAGTTTTGAAGGTCTCATGTAATCTGGCCACTCTTCAGGACTTCAGTTTCCTTTCTTATTCTTCCCTCTCTTAAACCTTACGTTCGAGCCACACTGAACTTCTTTTGATTCCCTGAATGTCTCATGATCTTGCTCACCCTAGGGCCTTTGCATATACTATTTTCTTTGCTCGTAACATTTCTCTTCCTATTTAAGCTTTAAGTAGCTTAAATGTTACTTCTGATGGAAGCTTTTCCTAGCCCCATAATCTCAGTCTAGCTTAGTTTCTATGTGTTCATGATACCCCTTGCCAGCGCCTTGCCCCCAATTTATCGCCTTTACTCTAATTACTTCTTTCATTGTCATTCTTCTCTGTTAGAAGAATGAGAGTAAGGACAATTTTGTCTTTTCATCACTATATCCTCAGCACCTAGTATAGTCCTTGGCACATAATAGGTACTCAGTAAATATTTGATGAATGAGTGAATGACATTGGGAATCATTAAAAATGCATTTTAATTCTAGTGCTGCCACTTACTAGCTGGGCCTTTCCAAATTTCAGTTTGCTTATCTGTGAACCATTACAGGGCTTTTGTGAAGATCAAGCAAGATGATGTATATGAAATTACTTTGCAAATATTATGCAAACAAAGCACTATGCAAACGTTAATCGGTCATTATTAGGGTATGGAAATTTGCATCTCATTTACTTAAGTAATCTGAATATAAAAGGGCTACCTTGTGTCCAGTATTATATTAGAAAGAAACTGCAGTCTAATATCCCAAAGTTTCATAGTTTTTCTCATATAGATTTATATGTATTTTATTAGATTTATACCTAAGCTTTTTTTTTTTTGATGCTGATGTAAATGGTGTTATGTTTTAAATTTCAAATTCCAATTGTTCGTTGCTGATATATGGGAAAGCAGTTGACTTTTGTATTTTAACTTTGTGTCCTGCAGTCTTGCTATAAGCGCTTATTAGTTCCAGGATTTTTTTGTTGATATTTTGGGGTTTTCTACATAGAGAATCACATCATCTGTGAGCCCAGACAGTTTTCTTTCCTCCTTTGCCATCCATATAGCTTTTATCTTCTTTTCTTGTCTTACTGCATTAGGTAGGACTTCCAGAATAATGTTAAATAGGAGTGGTAAGAAGGGACAACCTTACCTTGTTCTCGGTCTTAGGGGGAAGGCATCTAGTTTCTCACCATTAAATGTTAGCTTCCCAGTTATTGCCATAATACTGTTTCATGCTTCTGTTCTATCTACTAGTTCATTGCATAGTGCCTGGGGTCTTAAAAGCTTGCAAGTGGCCATGCAAGGTACAACAATTGGTCTCTATTTGCCTGGAGAAACTAAGGAAGAAGGAGAGTGAAGAATAGGAGGAGAATATAGAATATGTGGCTAATTGCCTCCATGAACAACTGCCTTCTTTGCCATGAGGCCAGAAGAACTGGATGGTGTCTGGCTACCATTACTGAACATTTTGATCAAAGAGTCTATAGAAGAATCCTTATCAAAAGGGGGAAAAATGTGGAAGAGAATTTCAAGTTCTCATGGAATCCAGATTTTCTGTAGCCGGGGAGACTGGATGAACCCCTGAAATCATTACCCTGAGATAATCTTTAAACCTTAAACCAAAAATATCCCCTGAAGTCTTTTTGAAGCCAAATAATAGTTTAGCTTAACTTAAGAATGTCTGCCTTGAGCGTTGTATTCTTTTAAAGAACTGTCTATATGGAATCAAATCGACAACAGCAAAGCGAACGATTAAATGGGAAACTCGGAGCAGTGAGTTTATCTTAATGGGGGAGGAACAATTCAGAAAAGGAGGGTGAGAATGGTTGCACAATTTGAAGAGTGTAATCAATGTCACTGAATTGTACATGTAGAAATTGTTGAATTGGTATATGTTCTGCTGTGTAAATTCTTAACAACAAAAAATAAATAAATAAATGGTCTTTAAAAATATGTTAGCTGTATATTTTTTGTAGATATTCTTTATCAAGTTGAGGAAGTTCCCCCTTGATTTCCTAGTTTGCTGAGAGTTTTTATCATAAAAGGGTGTTGGATTTTTGTCAAATGTTTTTTCTCTATCTATCGATATGATCATATGAATTTTCTTCTTCAGCCTGTTGATGTGATGGGGTTCATTAATTGATTTTTGAATATTGAAATAATACAACTTTAACTTTGCTTGTTTTAAGTGGAAACGTTCCCTGCGTTAGTAACCAGAGAGTACTAAGTATAATTTATACTTTTCTTAGATTATTTGTTGAATTTAATTATATTACTATGGTAGAAGGAGCCCTGGTGGTGCAGTAGTTAAGAGCTCGGCTGCGAACCAAAAGGTCAGCGGTTGGAATCCACCAGCTGCTGCTTGGAAACCGTATGGGGCAGTTCTACTCTGTCCTATAGGGTTGCTATGAGTCAAAGTCAACTCGATGGCAACAGATTTGGTTTTTTTGGTTTTATTATGGGGGAGGATGAGGTGGGTAACTAATATTTATTGAGTGGCTACTCTGCCAGGAGCTGTGCTTTACTTTCATGATAGCTTATATTTTTTAACCCATATTCTGTCCCTAGCCCAGTTCTAAGTGTTCTGAGGTAGATACCGTTTTACAGACCAGGAGTCTTATATACACACAGAGATTAGGTAGGTAACCTGCCCAGCTAGCACCTTGCAGAGCTTGAATTTGAATCCTAACAGTCTGGTGCTTGAGGCCATGCTTCTAAGTACTCTGCCACAAATGTCAGCTTCACCAGGAGCCTCTGGGGTAGACATTATCACCCCCTCCCCCCTTAACAGAAATAGCAACTGAGGTTCAAAGGAGTTAAGTAACAATTAAAATCCATTAGTAAATGGTTGGCATTTCTTTTTCTTTCTTTCTTCTTCTTTTTTTTTTTTTTTCTTCCCTCTATTTCCTTCTCTAGAACTATTTTATTTTGGCCTAGGCAGAGCTTGACATTTCTTTTTCTGTCTTCATTTTTGTTTTCTTCCCTCTCTCTATTTCCTTTTCTAGAACTTTCGAATTTTGACCCAGGCGGGGTTTGAATTTGCCAGTTAATGAAAACATTTCTTTCTTCTCACTTTGGTTCATTTGTCTGCCTCTTTTTTCCCGGGAATGTGTCTTTTATCATCATTAAACTATTTACTGAGTGACTTTGTTTGCTAAGTTACATATGCTCTGAAATAATTGAGAGAGACCTATCAGCTGGCTTTTCTGAGTTTATGTTCTAATCTACTGACAACTTTTTTTTTTTCCAGAGAGATTGGAACAATTATCAGGTCATTAGGATGCTGCCCTAGTGAAGGAGAGCTACATGACCTGATTGCAGAGGTAAGTAGAGCTAAGAAAGTTTCATTTATCAGATTCTCTGGGCATTGATCCAAAGGACCCTGTGCAACTACTTGTAATTAAACATTCTTACCTGAAACTAAAAGTGCCCTAAACTGCTGAATGTGCTCAGTGAAAATATTAGGGTAACTATGCAAGTTAGCCAGCCAACAAGATCTGAAGGAATTAAGACCAGATCTTGAAGAAATGACTATGAACAAGTAACACAATGATCAAGTAAAGACCCCACTTTAGATATTAATCCTGTCTTTAAAATTAGTTGAAGAAAGGTCAGTAGACATAAAGGATTGATCATATACAGAAAGAATATTGACAGATGAAAGGAAAAGAGTCAACAATGTGAGGTCAGAGGATAGAAAAAGAAATAAGACCACGGGAATTTATATTTATTTAGAGAAATAAAATTGACACTCAGAACAAGTAGTAAACAGCATAAAATAGTAAGAATTACCTTGACGTTGACCAGACATTCAAAGAATATTTTAAATGATTATTTTTAATAGTGTAGAAGGAAGGAATTGCCCCATAAAGAAGCGATGAGCAGTTTAAGAGAGACTGCGTGCCCTGCCCAGCTTCTCAGAAAGGCCTCTGTTCTAATTTAGGTGCAGCTTTCAGTTCAACAAAGTGGAGGTCTTAAGGGGAAACAGCTACCTGGGCAACCACCAGGAGAAGAGTCATTTCAGAATTACTTATCCCTAGGAATGTGGGTTCTGGTCGAGGCAGGGATTAAAAAGAGAATAAGGGAAGAAAGTGGATTTTTTTTTCTCTCCTTGTTCCTGGCATCTAGCACAGTGCTTGATCAGCCAGTGTGACATTGAAGAGAAGGAATTGTCAATGTGGGCAAGTCATTTAACCTCTGCGAGCATTTGTGTCTCCATAGTAAAACCTACTGCAAAGTTTGCTTCAGAGATTAAAGAAATAATGTATAGGAAGACGCTTTTTGAATTCTAAAGCACTGCTTAAAGATAAGGAATGGAAGACTGGAAAGATGATTCTGTTGCCCAGATGTTAGCACCTTGGTAACTAAAAAGCAGTACCAGTTTTTCATTAACATTTTAAAATACTCGATCAAGCAGGGAATCTAAATTGTAAGAATATGTTGTTTTCCCATTTGGGGATTAAATAAAGCTATTATTATTAAGACTAGGGCAAAATCTTATTTTTTCAGAATTGGTCCTCACATAACGAAAGGCTGCTGACCACTGCCTTAAAGTGTTCACCAATAAAGCTGAAACTGGTATTAGGGAGAGGAAGGCTAGCACTGTGAAAGAGTAGGAACTGGAAGATAAACTTACAGTGAGATAGTAATTATTGCATATAATTTACTGGAGTAGGTGGAGCAGTGATTAACAATACCTCTGAAGGACATCAAAGGAAAATCTCTAGAGCCTAGTACTTCTATGGTAAAGTAGTCTGAAGTTTTCTGTTTGTATGTTTTGATCTCTAGCAGGGGTCAGCAAACTACAGCCCTCAGACAAAACCTAGCCCACTATTTGTTTTTGTAACTACCCCAAAACCAAACCAAACCCGTTGCCATCGATAGCAACCCTATAGGACAGAGTAGAACTGCCCCATAGGGTTTCCAGGAGCAGCTGGTGGATTCCAACTGCCTTTAGGTTAGCAGCCAAGTGCTTAACTACTGTGCCGCCAGGGTTCCTTTGTAAATATAGTAAAAGCGTTATTGAAACACAGTTAAACTCATTTATCTACATATTGTCTCTGGTTGCTTTCATTCTGCAGTGGCAGACTGAGTAGTTGTGACAGAGGCCATATGACTTGCAGAGTTTAAAGTATTTACTATCTGGCCCTTTACAAAGTTTGCCAACTTTTGATCTATAGAACAGTCTCCACATCTAGGGTTAGGAGATCTGGGTTCACATCCCACGGCTACCACTTACAGCTATGTGGTCTTTGGTGAGCCACTTAATCTTTCAAAGCTTGGTTTCACAGCTCAAAAGGAATCTAATAATATCAAAGTATTGTTATGAGGATTATGTTTAATTACTATGAGGAACCCACTGTTGCTTGGTAGGCACTCAGTGCATATTTGGTTTTGCTTACTCTGCGGGTTCCTCTCCACTAAAAATGCCCCCACTGAGGTAGGTAATTAACCACAGTGAATGCTCAGGTCCCAAAGTTTTATTTTGTCTTTATTCTTTTCTTGGGTACCTTTGCTTAACTTTTGAAAGTTACAAATATTTAGAACAGTTATGGATCACAGAGCTGTCTAAGCTCTATACATGTTTTTCTGTACTTGTACACTAACACAAAGAATGTCTTCAAATAAAATTCTGGCAATATGCTTACAAAGCTCTGGAAACGACTACCTTTTCAGATTTCCCAAATAAATGAGAGAGAAAAAGCACACAAATACTTAAAGTTATCACATTTAGAAAACCAAAGCTCCATAATAATAAAGACCTAGGGCTAAATGTCGTATTGCTAAGTGCTCTCTACTGTGTTTCAGAAATCAAACTTTTTAAATGTATATGTGCTTTCCCACATGTGTCGGTCAGTTTGTCATACAGTGGGGGCTTGTGTGTTCCATCGCCAGATGGAATACACAGGAATCAAACCAACTACATCTGTGGAAAGAGATGATGGAAAAGCTCAGTATCATCAGTCAGGACAAGGCCAGAGGCTGACAGTGGAACAGACCATCAATTGCTCATATGCAAGTTCAAGTTGAAGCTGAAGAAAATTAGAACAAGTCCACGAGAGCTGAAGTACGACCTTGAGTATATCCCACCTGAATTTAGAGACTATCTCAAGAATAGATTTGACGTGTTGGACACTAATGACCAAAGACCAGACGAGTTGTGGAATGACATCAAGGACATCATACATGAAGAAAGCAAGAGGTCATTAAAAAGACAGGAAAGAAAGCAAGGACCAAAACGGATGTCAGAAGAGGCTCTGAAACTTGCTCTTGAAAGTCAAGTAGCTAAAGCAAAAGGAAGAAATGATGAAGTAAAAGAGCTGAGCAGAAGATTTCAAAGGGTGGCTCAAGAAGACAAAGTGAAGTATTATAATGACATGTGCAAGGAGCTGGAGATAGAAAACCAAAAGGGAAGAGCATGCTAGGCATTTCTCAAGCTGAAAGAACTGAAGTTCAAGCCTTGAGTTGCAATACTGAAGGATTCCCCAGGGAAAATATTAAACGACACAGGAAGCATCAAAAGAAGATGGAAGGAATACACAGAGTCACTATACCAAAAAGAATTGGTCGACATTCAACCATTTCAGGAGGTAGCTTATGATCAGGAACCGATGGTACTGAAGAAAGAAGTCTAGGCTGTACTGAAGGCACTGGTGAAAAACAAGGCTCCAGGAATTGACAGAATGCCAACTGAGATGTTTTGACAAACGGATGCAGTGCTGGAAGTGCCCACTCGTTTATGCCAAGAAATTTGGAAGACGGCTACCTGGCCTAACTGACTGGAAGAGATCCATATTTATACCTATTCCCAAGAGAAGTGAACCGAATTCGGAAATTATTGAACAATATCATTAATATCACACACAAGTAAAATTTTGCTGAAGATCATTCAAAAGTGGCTATAGCAGTATATTGACAGGGAACTGCCAGAAATTCAAGCCGGATTCAGAAGAGGACATGGAACCAGAGATATCATTGCTGATGTCAGATGGATCTTAGATGAAAGCAGAGAATACCAGAAAGATGTTTACCTGTGTTTTATTGACTATGCAAAGGCATTTGACCATGTGGATCATAACAAATTATGGATAACATTGCAAAGAATGGGACTCCCAGAACACTTAATTGTGCTCATGAGGAACTTGTATGTAGATCAAGAGGCAGTCATTTGAACAGAACAAGGGGATACCGCATGGTTTAATGTCAGGAAAAGTGTGCGTCAGGGTTGTATCCTTTCACCATACTTATTCAATGTGTGTGCTGAGCAAATAATCTGAGAAGCTGGACTATATGAAGAAGAACAGGGCATCAGGATTGGAGGAAGATTCATTAACAACCTCCAATATGCAGATGTCAAAACCTTGCTTGCTGAAAGCGAAGAGGACTTGAAGCACTTACCGTAGAAGATCAAAGACTACAGCCTTCAGTTTGGATTATACCTCAACATAAAGAAAACAAAAATCTTCACAACTAGACCAATAAGCAACATCATGATAAATGGAGAAAAGATTGAATTTGTTGAGGATTTCATTTTACTTGGATCCGCAGTCAGCGCCCATGAAAGTAGCAGTCAAGAAATCAAACAACATATTGCACTGAGCAAATCTGCTGCAAAAAACCTTCTTAAAGCAAAAATGTTTTCTTGAGGACTAAGGTGCACCTGACCCAAGCCATGGTGTTTTCAATTGCCTCATATGCATGCAAAAGCTGAACAATGTATAAGGAAGACCGAAGAAGAATTGATGTCTTTGAATTATGGTGTTAGTGAAGAATATTGAATATACCATGAAGAATTTTACCAGAAGAACGAACAAATCTGTCTTGGAAGAAGTACAACCAGAATGCTCCTTAGAAGCAAGAATGGCGAGACTTTGTTTCATGTACTTTAGACACGTTATCAGGAGGGACCCAGTCCCTGAAGAAGGACATCATGCCTGGTGTCTTAGTCATCTAGTGCTGCTACAACAGAAATACCACAAGTGGCTGGTTTTAACAAAGAGAAATTTATTTCTCCACAGTAAAGTAGGCTAAAAGTCCAAATTCAGGGCGTCAGCTCCGGGGGAAGGCTTTCTCTCTCTGTCAGCCTTCTTCTCATTAGTGTTCCCCCAGACTAGGAGCTTCTTTGCGCAGGGACCCTGGGTCCAAAGGACACGCTCTGCTCCTGGCACTGCTTTCTCGGTGGTATGAGGTCCCCCTGTCTCTCTGCTCGCTTCTCTGTTTTATATCTGAAGAGATTGCCTCAGGACACAATCCAGTCTTGTAGACTGAGTCCTGCCTTACTAACACAACTGCCACCCATCCTCCCTCATTAACATCATAGAGG